AGGTCCGAACCAAACCTCTGCTGCTGTTGTGACCTAAAGTCCTTTATTACTATTGTGAGTCCGTTTTTAAATTGTGTACATATTTGTTTGTTTGAATCGATGTTTTTCAACTGCTGGACACTTTTCTCCAACTGGGATCAATAAAGTATCTGTCTTATCCATGTTTCTGTCAGTAGTATAAGTACATCGGCATGGCAACGCTCCGGAAACCTTTCTTCTCATTTTGCTTTTTTCTCTCTTTGAGTTTTGTCCACGGGGCTCTGGAGCGCAGTGAAATAAGGCCAGTGCTGAAACATAAGCTGTAAATAATAGAATATCAGCAAATCCATTGTATCCAGTGAAGATAAAAGTACTTTAAAAACTTAGACACACTTTAAACAAAACTTGTTCTTTATGTTCAGCAGAGTTTGGCCTAAAAGTACAGAGATTACATAAGATACATGGTAATATATATATACTGTATATATATATATATATATATATATGTGTGTGTGTGCGTAAAAATATATGCAAGAAAAATGTAAAAATCTCTCTCTTTTTCTCTGTCTCAGAAGGAGGCAGAGACAAAGAAAAGAAAAGAAAAGGGACGGAGGCAGAGAGAAGAGTGCAAAGACAGAGGCAGAGGCCGAGACAGAAGATGAGGCAAAGCGAGAGACAGAGGCAGAGACAGAGGCAGAGACAGAAGATGAGGCAAAGCGAGAGACAGAGACAGAGACGGAGGCAGAGGCAGAGACTGAGACAGAGACTGTGGCAGAGACAGAGACAGAGACTGAGGCAGAGACAGAGGCAGAGACAGAGACAGAAGATGAGGCAAAGCGAGAGACAGAGACAGAGACAGAGACAGAGACGGAGGCAGAGGCAGAGACAGAGGCAGAGACAGAGACTGAGGCAGAGACAAAGACAGAGGCAGAGACTGAGGCAGAGGCAGAGACAGAAGATGAGGCAAAGCGAGAGACAGAGACAGAGACAGAGGCAGAGACTGAGGCAGAGACAGAGGCAGAGACAGAGGCAGAGACGGAGGCAGAGAGAGGTAGAGGCAGAGACAGAGGCAGAGGCAGAGACTGAGGCAGAGACAGAAGCAGAGACAGAGACAGAGGCAGAGACAGAGGCAGAGGCAGAGACAGAGGCAGAGACAGAGACAGAAGATGAGGCAAAGCGAGAGACAGAGACAGAGACTGAGGCAGAGACTGAGGCAGAGACAGAGACAGAGGCAGAGACAGAGGCAGAGGCAGAGACTGAGGCAGAGACAGAGACTGAGGCAGAGACAGAGGCAGAGACAGAGACAGAAGATGAGGCAAAGCGAGAGACAGAGACAAAGACAGAGGCAGAGGCAGAGACTGAGGCAGAGACAGAGGCAGAGACAGAGGCAGAGACAGAGGCAGAGACAGAGGCAGAGACAGAGGCAGAGACAGAGACAGATGCAGAGGCAGAGACAGAGGCAGAGACAGAGGCAGATGCAGAGGCAGAGACTGAGGCAGAGACAGAAGCAGAGGCAGAGACAGAGACAGAGGCAGAGACAGAGGCAGAGACAGAGACAGAAGATGAGGCAAAGCGAGAGACAGAGGCAGAGACAGAGGCAGAGACTGAGACAGAGACAGAGGCAGAGACGGAGGCAGAGACAGAAGATGAGGCAAAGCGAGAGACAGAGGCAGAGACAGAGACAGAGGCAGAGACGGAGGCAGAGGCAGAGACAGAGGCAGAGACAGAGACAGAAGATGAGGCAAAGCGAGAGACAGAGACAAAGACAGAGACAGAGGCAGAGACAGAGGCAGAGACAGAGGCAGAGAGAGGTAGAGGCAGAGACAGAGGCAGATGCAGAGACAGAGACTGAGGCAGAGACAGAGGCAGAGACTGAGGCAGATGCAGAGGCAGAGACTGAGGCAGAGACAGATGCAGAGGCAGAGACAGAGGCAGAGACAGAGGCAGAGACGGAGGCAGAGACAGAGACAGAAGATGAGGCAAAGCGAGAGACAGAGACAAAGACAGAGACAGAGACTGAGGCAGAGACAGAGGCAGAGACAGAGGCAGAGACGGAGGCAGAGACAGAGGCAGAGGCAGAGACAGAGGCAGATGCAGAGACTGAGGCAGAGACAGAGGCAGAGGCAGAGACAGAGAGAGGCAGAGACAGAGGCAGAGACAGAGGCAGAGGCAGAGACAGAGGCAGAGACAGAGGCAGAGGCAGAGACAGAGAGAGGCAGAGACAGAGACAGAGGCAGAGACAGAGGCAGAGACAGAGACAGAGGCAGAGACAGAGAGAGGCAGAGGCAGAGGCAGAGGCAGAGACAGAGGCAGAGACAGATGCAGAGGCAGAGACAGAGGCAGAGGCAGAGACAGAGGCAGAGGCAGAGACAGAGACAGAGACAGAGGCAGAGGCAGAGGCAGAGACAGAGGCAGAGACAGAGAGAGGCAGAGACAGAGACAGAGGCAGAGACAGAGAGAGGCAGAGACAGAGGCAGAGGCAGAGACAGAGACAGAGACAGAGACAGAGGCAGAGACAGAG